GCTTCAGGGCGGTGGGGTAGCCTAGTGGTTAAAGCGTTCGCTCGTCACGCCGAAGACCCGGGTTCGAATCCCCACATGGGTACAATGTGTGAAGCCCATTTCTGGTGTCCCCTGCCGTGATGTTGCTGGAATATTGCTAAAAAGCGGCGTAAAACCATACTCACTCACTCAGGGGCTTCAAAACAGTTTATAAACTTTAGCTGTTACCAACTTGATTCTTTGATACGTTCTTGTGCAATTTGTACATTTGTGTAGATGTTCACTATCATGCAGTTCACATGACAAATTATATTTTACAACTAGAACTTTCTTACTCAGTATTTTACCTAAAACGATAACATTGGAAAATACACTGCAACACTTGCCTAATATATTTACCTGTACATACATTACCAATAATGACGTCTAGCTTGTTACACTAATTACAAGACCTGTATCAAAACCGTTTAACGTTAAACGTGACATCTGACGTTTGCAAAACTGTCACACTTGCGTGTCGACCTTCCCAGAGCAATCAATCCTGTCTGTTGGCAGTGACAATTCATCCGCTCACATCTAACCAGTTTATTATATAAAAGCATTTAATCAGAACCTTTTCCGCATGGCTTCTCATTCATGCAAAGTCATCGTAAACCAGATTGGTTACCCTGACAACTGAGGTACACAAACATAGCCCCTTGATCAAAAATAATTATTTCAATGTTTTTCTTCTGACTCCACTCTTTGAAATCTGTCAATCAGTTTCTATACCATCAGTCATGATATTCCGTTCAAGTTTAGCTACTCCACTTTTGTATTGGCGTTCGAAACTGACGTCTAATACATTTGATGTGTCATCCGAAACAGAAACGGAATTTTGTATCAGTTGAACAAAAGCAGTCATATTTGACTTGTTGGGCATTTTTCAAAAGTAAATTGTGTATAGTAATCTTTTTATCTATATGCTGTGTATATGTTCAAGTGAATGGTGTACGTAATATTCTTCTGTAGATGAATGATTTTGAAATTATGCAATTGTTTTTTTATGAATATGAATGATGGGGGTATGATTTATGACTGTGAATTGATTGCTCGTGTTACAAGCTGCACTTTAGAAACCATATTAAGATAATGTTATATATCAGTTACTGCACACAGATAACGTTAGAACTGGTCTGGTAGAGACGGAAAAGTACTGCCATGCTTTTAGCAGTGATCAGCTCCATTCACTAGTTGCAGATTATGGGTGTGGTCCATTGTCACTGATTCGTTACTTGATCGCCAACTTGTCGCTGATAACCAGAAAATGATTTGATCCATAAAATCTTTTATTGCATCAATTGACAGACAGCAGTGATATATTTACACACCATATATAAAGACTTACAATTAGAGTATTACACATATATACCTACAGAAATGTTAAGCTTAATTTACACCTCAGTGTTATTACAATTGTATAACAGTGCTTATCAATGTATTGAAATAAGTAATTGAAATAGGTTTTCTAACGATACATTATGTCCACGTCAATGGTTATTGGACTTTCCCGCTGCTTTCTTTGGTTTTGTATCACGCGGTATCACAAGTCTCCATACGAACATACAGTGTTTGTACCAACCGCAAAAGGGTATTTCGGATATGTATCAACATTAGTTTCACAAAAAGACAAATGGAATTTCGGGATATATACAGTGTTTGATTGGCATTCTAGACATTGACCAGCGAATATGAAAACGTGCAACGTTACGATAACAACTTCTGGGGTTTTAAGCATTCAGCAAAATCAAATAAACCAGAAATTGTTATCCACAATGTTCCACGTTTCGTATCTTTCGCTCCAGATGTATAAACACATGTTCAAGTTAAAATCTATTTCTATCATATTTATAATTATGCACCATGGCTATATAACCATAAAAGGAAATTGTATACATTATTTCGAATATTGATTAACCCTACAGCCAAATCCTTTTGAGGACTTTTCTTTAAAGTTAGCCAAAGAGTATGACTTAAAATTACTTTGAGATAAATAAGCAGAATTTCTGCAGTTCTTTAAGCCACCCTAATGTACTGGAATTAAATCGACTTCATTATTATCATTTCACAACCCTATTTTCTGCCCACTTCAATGTCGTTTTAGCGCTTCTGTCCCTAATGCTTTCTCCTGAATGACACTCTAAGAGGCTTTTACAAATCTTCTTTGTTTTGCTACAATCTAGCACCGTCACTGTCAACGTTTGCATTGATGGCGCAAAGATTGCGTGAGGTCACCCTGGCTGCTTTGTCTTCTTCTGCACGACGTGTCGACTTCGGTCGTTCTCGTCGTCAGCTAATTGTTATATGTCCTCGAGCGCGGCCATGCTTTAACGTTTTGCTTCACTCGAGAGATTGATGGAAGGCGAATGGTAGAAACGAGTTAGTTTCAGCTGATTTTGTGTATGCACATTGAAAATAAAGGTCATGTTCTGCTTGTTCAGAAAATATTTACATTATTGATGGCTACATTAGCTTTGATGTCGATGTGAGATTTTATAGCAAAGTAATGGCATAAAACATACTTGAAATATGCCATTATCGTTACTGGGGAATCTATAGACACCAGGGATTGATCTTCAGAGTTGAAAAGATGTTCTGCTCATTTTTTCGCAAACTCATGATATAAAATCCCTGCCTTCAGTTTTAATGTTTAATGGAAATAACATACAAAAAGGCAGATCAACAACGGCCGTTTACACTGTACATATAAAAACCGATTAAAGCTATTGAATAAATACTATACAACATATAGCGAGAGTTTAGTACTGTGAGATACTGTTGCTAGAAGTTATTTATATCCAAACCGTACAGATAACTCTAGTTGTGAAATGATACATTGTAAAATGATATATCTTTCTAAACATTAAGGTCCCTTTGGGTTCATCTCGTGGTGATGTGTTTTCTCCGAGATGTTAATATAGTCGATATTAGCTCCTATTCCGGTCGATAAATTGAAACACGAGAAGTCTGTTTGATTGCTTTGCTTCGTCGTTCTGACTCTGCGCGTATCAGTTAATATAGTCGGACCAAAGCATGATCACCATTTGTAGGAAGTCCTTAATCGGAAAACTCTTTTGTTGGGCCTTGGGTTGACTGTAGGGAATTGGTTTGCAATAAACTACAAAGTAAGGGTTTTAATGGAAGTATCACTGTGTTATGTATCGCTAATCTCCCCGTATCGCTGTCACTTATCACTGTCTACGCCAGTCTCAAGTTCGACGAAAGTACAATTACTACAACACAATCGTATTCTTACTTCAAACGTATAATAAACTAACGCAAATATACAATGTCAAAAAACACGGACTGAAATAACTTTAGGAATAAGGTAATATGAAATCAATACAATGACGATGGTTACCAGAAGTGACTAGTAAAATAGCATGTAGGGTGTATCAAATATCCTAGGTTGAAAAATGATTTGTTTCTGCTGTAATCTAAAAATGAATAAGTTCATTTGCGGAACCTTTTAGTGTTCAGTGATAGCATCATACAATGTATTGATGCAAAGGTGTATGTGTTACTTTTGAGTATTCAAAGGCGTGTGAGTGAGTGAGTTTAGTTTCCCGCCGCTTTTAGCAATATTCCAGCAATATCACAGCGGGGGACACCAGAAATGGGCTTCACACATTGTACCCATTGTACCCATATCGAACCCGGGTCTTCGGTGTGACGAAGGAACGCTTTAACCACTTGGCTACCCCTCCGCCTCGTATTCAAAGGAGCAGCCAACAGGTGTGAATAAACTGAATATTTCATTGACGAATGATATAATAATAAGAATAACGATAAAAACCACACCAAAAATAACAGTTAACTTTACTTGTGATTTAGATAGAAAATGGAAAATGACAAATTCTTGGCCCATCTATAGTCTCAGACGTATACAGGCCCACAAACTTAATATTGTTCAATTTTATATAACCAATGAAAAAATTATATCATTGAATTGTCTGTCCCTTGTGACACCATTGTGATTGAAAAGATTCAGGAAATAAAGATGACAAATATGCGGACCTCGCCTTGGAAATGTCTCGCTTACATTCAAAGTACACTGTTGTCAGGCTCCCCATTGTTCTCGTTGCCCATGGTTTGGTACCTCCTGATATCTTGGCGCAGATCAGAAGAGTGCCCGGGTTCTCCACAGGCGGCATAGCTCTTCTTACACGCTAGGTAATGAAAAAGGCTGCACTATTAGAGTCTCCATATTCTCCGGGAAGTTGTTGGTTCGACTCTAGCGCTCCCTTTCCTGCGTGTAAAGGGGACAAGGATCAACTTAACCAACTTGACTCATGATCAGTTTAACCAGCTTGACTGTGCGAGGACCACCAACCTTCTTTGCTGCATTTTATCTTAATCTGTAAACATAACCAGTAAAATATAAATAAATACTTACCTTCTCAGCTCCTTTGGGATCATATGATCCTAACTGTCCATCATACACTTTACCATTTCCTTTCTGTCGGGTACCCAATCGATGATGGTGACAAGATCAAGACCAGAACTGACATCAATAACGGATTTCAATGCTGAGCAGAACCATAAACATTGGCCGTCACATTAAAATGTTTTCATCTAAAACACATTATTGTAGACCTGTGAAGATCTGGGTTTGAATTGGAATTAGAATGTCAGCAACCCATGCTTGTCGTAAGAGGCGACGAACGGAATATGGTGGATGCATGTTATCGTATCCCAGCTGCGTAGACGGATGCTCATTATGTCAATCACTGGATCGTCTGGTCCAGACTTTGAATATTTATTCCATTTCAATGTAAAATGTTCTCGTCACGATATGGCTGAAATATTGCCGATGTGACGTTAACTATTAACTCACTCACTTCGAATATTTACAGAACGTCGTCATATGGCTGGAACATTGCTGGGAGTGGCGTTGAACAACAAACAGTCAACACATTATTGTTATCCATATATAACTGTATTTTTGTCATGGTCTGATCAACGTGTTTTTGTCTTTACAGGATGTTGGGGAAGCAGCAAGATGAAAAATCTCTTGTCAAATATGACGAACTAGATGAGGTTTACTCCGAGGAAGATGATCCGGAGAAGAAATCCAAACCCGCTTTCAAGTGTAGCTGCTGCAGATGCAACTGTGCCAAGAGATATCTTATCGCCATCCTCAGCAGCGTCGGATTCATTTTATCATTTGGTATTCGGTGCAACTTGGGAGTTGCCATCTTGAAAATGACAAAAAACGAAAGTGTGGACTTGGATGGAGATGGAACAATAAGAAAAAATGAATCGGTAATCTGGTTTGAGGAAATTATCTGAGTAATTAAAGATATTATCAGTAGCTTAGTCACAATATTGTTTACAAAAATAACAAGACGAATGATATGATTGAAAACAAAATGTATGTCCCTGCAGTTCAAGCATCATCCTCGATGTGTCAGGGTGTGATATTGATATTATGATTAAACACCATGGGTCCAAAGCTGCCATAGCTTCGTTTCGTGACTGAGTCGTACAGCGCGATCCCAATACTAGCCGTGAAATAGAAACTCTGTGTAGAATTGACATAGGAAGCAAGGAGATGCGGATGTCAAAGCCGAACGATTTGATAGCAATAAGGTCATGGCGCTTATCCTTATAATGTGGCGATATAAGGCTCTAGATTATGGACGATGCCCAAATGTATTCCATCATAAGTGAAATAAAGTTAATTTGAAATAAAGTTAATTGGGTGTATCAGGTTTCTATAGTTTTGTCACAACAGTGTTTTTGACACTATTCGCCTAAAATGCTAGAAGATGAGACTGATATATTTACTCACCAATTCATCAAATACGCTTGATTTGAATGAAATGATAGAGATGTGACTAACCTTTTCACTCACTAACTCACAAAACCCGCTTAAAATTGGTAGCTATTTTGTAATGCTTTTAATGGTACATCTGGTTTTAATCGAATATTTTTGTTTCAGGAACCAGAGTTTAGTTGGACGCCAGAAACAGTGGGAGTTGTGGATAGCTCATTTTTCTGGGGATACATAGTTACACAGGTGCCAGGAGGTTATCTGGCATCAAGGTTACCCGCCAACAGGTGAAACCCCTTTAATTATCCAATGTTACATGTTTGTGATAAGGGACGAAATACTACCCTTGTGGTTAAAGCGTTTTGCTCGTATTGCCTAATCCTGGGTTCAGATCCCAACGTGGGTTCAATGTGTAATGACAGTGTGTGTGCCCCCGCCGTGAACTGTCTGGAGTATTGCAAAAGACGACTTAAAAACTAAGTTATCACTTATGATAATGGAAATGAGTGCACATGTGATGTGAATGCACCGCAGATCGCTGCGTGGAGTAGCGTCCTCACCATCGTCCGCTGATCTAAAACTTAGCCCGAATAAAGATTCAATGATCAGCAGCCTGCATGCCCTACCGAGTTTGCGTTTACCTCCTTCGTCACTTTCAACTTAGGTCCTAACGTAACATGCTGACATACAACGACGCTTTAAATCTCTCAGTGTGTTCACATGTTACGGCAGAGATTCCTATAGCAAGTGATTATTGATGATTTTGGAATGTTAATATACTATACAAGCAATAACGGATTGAAATTTAGGTAAATATTGAAAACTCTTTCATCTATAACACGATAAGTAGTTCACCGTTAACTTTGATCTGCTATCAAAACAGTATCGTTGGCGAGTATCGTTATTCTTGAAGCCCCAGGTCATTGGATAATGGGGCATGAAATTTGATGTTCAGTGTAACCTGAATCCACTTTATTAATGATCATACATACAATACATTCATGTTATGCATACCCTTGCAATTACATTCTTATATCATACAGTTGACGGCATCGACCGCACCCTTGCATCGTCATTATTTCATTGCATCTACTATATATGTAATGGCATTGTAATATAGAAGCATTTTTGAAATTTGAGCAGTACTATTTTTCCCCTTTGCTACACATAATGATGAAAGTCCCCGTGAACAGTACCATATATTCGTTTAATACTTAAACCTATGTATTTTTGTATCTTTGGGGGTAGTCTAGTGGTTAAACCCAAGACACGGGTTTTCTGGGAGCAACGTGTGAAGACCCTTTCTGTTCTCCCCTACCGCCATACTGCCGGGATATTACTTAACGACGAGTAAACTAATACTCACTTTTAACTTAGGCTTTGTATCTATCAAATACATTTATCTGCACCTATATAATTTGATATATTTTTCCAGGTTATTTGGCATGGCTATAGGACTATCGGCATGCCTGAACATGTTACTACCAGCAGCTGCTAAAGTACACTATGGTCTGGTTATATCAGTGCGTATCCTACAAGGATTAGTTGAGGTAAGTTGTTATTTCGCTTATTAATTATAAATACGCTAGACCCGTGAAGATCCGGGTTAGAATTGATCTTCAGTAACCTATACTTGTCGTAAGAGGTGACTAACGGGATCAGGTGGTCAGGCTCGCTCACCTGGTTGACACATGTTCATGCTCTTGATCTCTAGATTGTCTGGTCCAGACTCGATTATTTACATTATTTACTGCCATATAGCTGGAATATTGCTGAGTGCGGCGTAAAACTAAACTCACTCACTATAACTTCGTTACATTTTTTCAAAGTGATCATTATGAATAAAAACAAACCAATATTTGTATTTATCAAATGAACATGTGCACGATTTTCAGTTTGATTTGTTTGTGTTTCAGGGTGTGACATACCCTTCTTGTCACGGTATTTGGCGGCACTGGGCCCCACCCTTAGAACGATCTATGTTAGCCACTATATCATTTTGTGGTAAGTACATTCCTATGTCAGCTCATTCCGTTTTACTGATAAGCACAATTCCATGTTAATCCACAACCCTTTGGGAACGCACATTTCCATACTGGCCCCTGATCATATTTCTGATAATCCTACATTTTCCCATATGTTTCTGATGCACATCTTCATGTCAGGCACTAAATCATTATCTCCTTAGCATATTTTCATATTAGCCGCTGCAGTGTTTTCTGAATGGAACATTCCATGCTAAAGGCTACATCCTTTCGGATCACATTTTGTGCTAGCCACTTCATTATTTTCTGCTAAGCACATTTCCATGTTTGCTCTACACTCCTATTGGAACGCACATTCCATGCCACCTCATTTTCTGCCGAGATCTTTATTATTAACGACTTCATATTTTTCTGGTAGGCACATCTTCATTGCGCTACATCATTTTGTGAGAAGTATCCATGTTAGCTGTTACGTCCTTCGTTGCAATTATCATCCACTTGAATAAAAAAATCCTTTTACAAGCACATGTTCACATTGCCTACTTACTATATAACTCAAGTACATATGAGTAAGTAGTCACTTATGTAGCTAACTCATTTTGTTGTAAGTACATACCTATACTCCTTGTATTATCACTTGCATGGGTCACATGAGGAATGCTTTAGACCATGAACAAGTATTGTATAATAGAACATCATTTCGACAGGTAACAAAACAAACACTGACTGTCAGTCTCTGGGTCCTTGGGTAGTTGTAATTCCCCACCACGGTATTCACAGGCCTTCAGCTGGTCCATTACCCTATCTTCTCTCACGAGGACAACATGGAAGTTATTTTGAATCTAAATGTCAGGGCTAATATGGACATCATGAACATGTCTCATTGGCAATCGATCTTTCAGCACTCATTGTTATCTTGGTACGAAAATAAAATGTATACGGGCTCTTGCTGGCACTTAGCGACAAGATCCTGATGGTTTTAGTTACAAGTGCTTTCGTCAAGTACTTCTGATATTTAACCAGTCATTGCTTCTCAATGTCGCATCAATTTAAAAAAATCGTCGTAGCTAATCGTATGTCATGCATACGACATAGGTAAGCGACTTGAGTGACATCTAAATGTGTGAACATTGCATGGCATGTCATCCTGAGGGCACACGCTCTCTTAGCGTGTAAAACCACTCTCCTCTAGAACAGTATCGCGCGTAATGCATTTATCCCAACTTAAAGACCTTCAATCAAAGTCACCCTCCCACATAACAGTGCATGACACAATAACAAACGTGCCTTAATCATGTTCTAAATCCCCTTCACCAAAGTATATTTTCGTTGTCCATGGAATTCAATAGTTCTTCCAATGCCGTACCAGATGGAGTTATATAACGTTACTGTTGACGTGTGTCGTGGGATCAGACATGACACCGAAGCCCACTTTCGATTTCGAAAAGCAAAGTTTCCGGCTGTAAATTAGTCGATGCCAGTTTGCATTCATTCTCTCAGCCTCTACTCATTGATTTTCCAGGGTCGTACGCGGGTGCCGTTCTCGGCATGCCGTTATCGGCGGTCCTCACCGAGTACCTTGGATGGCAATCGGGCTTTTACGTGTTCGGTAAGCTTTTCCCAGTTCCGACTTCGTGTCCTCTTCAATAAACCTCAGCAAGAGCCAGACCGGCTGCTTGATTAGACTACCATCATCCTTTAGCAGAGTCCATTGTAGAGTCTCGCCTTTAATGTGTAATTCTCTAAGTGTATTTCCCCGCGGGATAGCATACTGTAGTAAAACTGACATTTAGCCAAATGAAAGCTTAATCTGAGCTATTTTCAACGAGAACTGTAAAGTCAACAAAGGAAAAGAGGGTTGACTTGTTTGTGATTGGGACGGTGTACGTTGAATGACGTTTTAGGCGTTGCCCAATGAAGCGTGGCCTTCAATCAGACCTGTCCATTGTAACGATCACTCTCGTTTAAACCTGTTGTGTGTCTTGACACATCGCTTGATCGAAATATCGATACGTTGTTATTGATGATAGCTTCCGAAACCCAGTTCGATTGAAAGATATCTGACGGCAAGAACATTAATGCAGTTTACAGCGTCAATCACAGTCGGCTTTGACTAATAAAGCGAAATTGAAAATTCACATTTAATTTATTTTATCGAAAAGCAGAATCTGGTCATTTTAGGTGGACAATATGATTTCTCGAGCAGAATAATGCACGGCTGTCATTACGAAATTTATCCCTGATGAAGTAGTGTCCACGGACCAATGATGCAGATTGTTGGAAATACAAGTTTCTATTACAGTTCATTTATTACCTTAGGGGAAGCTTTCTCTAAGAGCATTATGTCCAAACACATTTACATTGTGGCGATCTCCAGAGCAATGGCATATAAATAACATTTGACACTTTTCCTAATCAAATAAAATGCCGAATTGAATGAAAGGTCTCGACAATGGAATCTGCAATAGCATTGCATATTCAATAAGCGATACAAAATACGAATAAAAATATTCTGCTGGCAATATTTGTCTGTCCCCAAATCGAACAGATTTATCGGGAACCAATTCAGATCAAGTCGTTGGATATCAAACTATTCATATCCATCCGATTTATTTGACTTGATACACCCTAAAGCAATCATTTGATTTCTGTCGAATTAACATATTAATTTAGTATCGTATTCTGCCGGGAGTAGCATAGAGATAGTTTAATGAACGAAAAAACTCCGAAATATCGATATACTCAACCAAAAAAGTTGGGGATCAGAAATAAGTTGGGGGATCCTTTTCATGAATTTGAGTGTTCTGTCTTCAACACACAAAACTATCCCTCAAATATTCATGATCCGGTTCAATATATACCGTTGATCTGGAAATATCGTACTTCTCTATATGGTTTACGTTGACAGCTATAATATACGAAGCGCATGTTTAATCTTGTAATCAGCGTTGGTGACGTAACGCATAATGACGTAACAATATTATGACGTCACACAATTTGTATAAATGTTTCATATCATCACACACTGGTACTTACTGTCCCGCGTAATGAATTCGTAAACATGAGAGTTGTAGATTGCATTACATTTCATTATACCACTGCTATTCCACGTGTTATACGGTGGGAGCTCGATGTATATTTCACCTCTTTTTCTGTCCGTTACAGGTGTGTTAGGTGCGTTATGGTCTATTGTATGGTGGTTCTTTTCATTCGAAAGGCCGGGAGTACATCCCACAATTACTGAAGAGGAGAGGATCTACATCGAAACCTCCATCGGAGAAAATACATCTATAATCAATAAGGTGCGGCACCGTCTTACAAGGCTCCCATAGCAGCCTTTTGAACCCCAAGCGGTCGTTACTGTAAACTCTTAAGATTTAGATTCGGGGTGTGTTTCGGGGTTAGCAATGATAATGAAACTACGTTGACAGAATGTACGGTTTTACCCAATGGTAAACGTATTGCTTCATTGACAAGCTGGGATATACCTAAAATACTTTCACTCACTCACGTATTCATAAATGTCACTCACCCCACTCTCTGTGTGTTTGTGTATCTTTCACTTCAAATTCGCATCGACCTTTTTTCTTGAAAAGTAGAACTACTTTATAAGCTTAGAAGCACAATACAAAAGACTGAGGGACATCAAGCTATAATTTGGTATGATGAAACAATCCATTCGACGATCGACGATATCATGGATACCTAACTCTTTAACCTGATAATTACACACTTTTTTTACATATTTCAATCCACCAGCTGTGTTCTAATAATATTCGACCCGTCAAGATCCGGGTTAGAATTGGTCTTCAGTAGCCCATGCTTGTTCTAAGAGGCGACTATCGGAATCGGGTGTTCAGGCTCACTGACTTGGTTGACACATGTCATCGTAGTGGCGTATATTGGTGCTCATGATGTTGATCACCGGATTGTCTGGTCCAGACGCGGTTATTTATATCCGCCGCCATATAGCTGGAATATTGCTGAGTGCGGCGTTAAACAACAAACAAACAAACCAATTCTAATAATGGTCCTATGCAGAGTTGTCGATTTCGGTTTTGTGGTTCAAAAGTTCTCCTTTTCATGTTCACGTGGTTACAATGTGTGATGCCATGTATAGTATCCCTCGCCGTGGTATTACTGCGGTGTAAAACTGTATTCAGTTTCAATGCACGACTATTCCATGTCACTAAGGGCGTTAACAATGAAAACAGTAAACATGTCATCATAACCATAATTCAAAGAATATGACTCCACATGAGGGCATTCAACCGGATCACTGTGCAAAAACGCCTCTTCAACGCCCTAGATATTATACAAATGCTTCATTCTGGGTGTTACGCCATTTCTCTTACAGGCAGATGGAAAGTCTCATTCAAAATATACCATGTAGGCCATGGTTCTATGCATGTAGCTGTATTATTTGTAATTCACAACAGGAATAATCATAAAAAAGTATAGGGTAGCACAGTATATGTGTGACGTGCTGAAAGTAACTCAGGAATGAGAATCAAGGTAATTTGCCACGTGTTCAGAAATTCAGGGTTGCTTTGATTGTCAGCATGCATGTTATCTCAAGACCAGTACATTACGCTAAAACACGACACGGCTCTAATTGAATTAGCCATACCAATACAAGTGATTAAGTGCGTGTATGTTATATTTATTTTACTGGATATACTGATTGTTTTGTATGGGTTTTTTTCCTCAGTAAAAGCACGAGAAATCAATGAATTGTCACTCGGGTTTCGTGAACCCAGTATGCTAAAATCACTAATGTAATAAACTTTTTAATTGACATCATCGAATGATGTAACTTTGTAATTGACATAATATAATCCATGTTTGACAATCTGCCACCAGAACCTCGTCAAAATGTCGCTGTAATGACTTATAGACTATGCCGTCATCATCTTCTGTGATAACACAATATATCACCTTAATTTTTTATATGATGAGAAGGCACTCATATCTCAGTGACCTTCAGATCGGATCACGTATCATTATTACCTTATGCTTGTTTTTAATGTGTGAAATGTAAACAACATATCCGCCCTCTGCATTTGGTCAATCACTTGTTACAAATCTAATTTACTTCGTATTTAATTTATGAAGGTGCATATATTGTTTGCTTGTTGTTTAACGCCGGACTCAGCAATGCTCCAAATACGACAGCCATCTGCAAACAATTGAGTCTTGACCAGACAATCCAGTGATTGATATCATGCGCAATCCGTGTACATTAGGATACGATGACATGTGTCAACCAAGTCAGCGAGTTTGACCACCCGATACATGGCCTTCGACGACAAGCATGGCTTCCTGAAGACCAGATTTGTTCCGGGTCTTCACGGGTCTCTTTATTTTGAACCATATGGATTTTACAACAATAACATGCGTTCTACTTATATCTGCAGAACCATAAGACCCCGTGGCTCAAGTTTTTCACGTCGATGCCGGTGTATGCTATCATGGTAGCCAACTTCTGCCGAAGCTGGACGTTCTATCTCCTGATCATCAGCCAGCCCACATACTTCCTCAAGGTCTTCGGCTTTGAGATTGACAAGGTATTACCTTCATTGTGTTATGTTAATATAGAAATTAAACTGATGTCGTTTCTGACAATCAGTTCTATTTTGCTACCTTAAGGGGACGTATTACCAAAAGACTGCTACAAGTAACGCACACTAATGTCGATTTGTAACTGTGAATGTACACATGCAACCGATGATGAATCAAGACCAACATACTACCAAAGTCAAATATTGAAGCAATTTGTATTTTACTTATGATAGTTATTGTTGTCTATGTATTTTACTTATGACTATTATTGTCACCTGTAGTTGAGCAGAGGTCAGTGACAAGTTCACTAAATCTCCGCAACTAACGTAATCTAACGGTTTACACAGTTGTATACCTACAATAAGACACAGGAGTAATGCAGTTGTGTGGTCTTTTGTTTCATGGTGATAATCCTGTAATTCGTACAAGAAAAACAGAGACTTAACAATATATTTCTTGGCGATATTTAAGTACAAAATGGTGCACATTGAAAACATTGATAATCATTATTATTTTTCATTATAATTATTCCAAACAAAACAAAGACCAATGATGCTTATTGTTCCAGAGCGGCACCCTGTCTGCTTTGCCTCACCTGGTGATGGCTGTCATCGTTCCTATAGGGGGGCAGCTTGCTGACTTTCTACGTCGTAGGATTCTCACAACTACTGTTGTTAGGAAGATCTTCAACTGCGGAGGTAAGGCTTTTCAGAGACTGTTTGCCATGATTCAGCGTCTCTACGGTGACGTGGAACTCACATTCGTGGACATTTGGGGCAGCAGTTTCTTACGTAGCATTCAACCCAAGGTCAAATACACACAGGAGAAGAACACTTTAATAGGTTACTTCTTCTGACGTAGCGTTCAACCCAAGGTCAAGTACACATATGAGAAGAACACTTTAATAGGTTACTTCTTCTGACGTAGCATTCAACCCAAGGTCAAGTACACATATGAGAAGAACACTTTAATAGGTTACTTCTTCTGACGTAGCATTCAACCCAAGGTCAAGTACTCATATGAGAAGAACACTTTAATAGGTTACTTCTTCTGACGTAGCATTCAACCAAAGGTCAAGTACACACAGGAGAAGAACACTTTAATAGGTTACTCCTTCTGACGTAGCGTTCAACCAAAGGTCAAGTACACATATGAGAAGAACACTTTAATAGGTTACTCCTTCTGACGTAGCGTTCAACCAAAGGTCAAGTACACATATGACAAGAACACTTTAATAGGTTACTCCTTCTGACGTAGCGTTCAACCAAAGGTCAAGTACACACAGGAGAAGAACACTTTAATAGGTTACTCCTTCTGACGTAGCGTTCAATCATACGTCACATACACGCCATAAAAAAGTTGTTGCTTTATTTTATGTTCAACTTGTCAGGAATACACATCTGATGAATACAATGAACGCAACGTTCAACTCAACGTCGCCAAGCACACATTGGGATATAGTTTGTTATAAAGGAACGTTCAGTGCTGTGGTGGGCAATAAACACCTACTTTGTACTAATAAGGTGCTAGCGGTGGCTCTTACCCTTTTGGTGTACATCTGTTGTCATCATTATCCATTGCTTTAACTTTCTTCACTTGTCACATTTAACGCCCACTCAGATCTGTTTCGGGAAACAATATCTGCCGTTAAAGTTCAATATTTAAATGATAAAACATTGCATGAATGTTACGTATGTGTAACGGTGTGATCTACAATGTGGATGAAAAATAACGTTCCTTCAAAAGTAACATATACTAGTAAACAGCAGTTTCTGATCTTCAACATCGGTCCAAACATTGCCTGCACTGAAAGTAACATATCTAGTATACAACATTGGTTAATCGTCAATATCGGTCTTAACATGACCTTCCACGGAATGTACTACATAACATATCTTGTATTCAAGTGTATGATCTTCACCATATGTCTTAATACATTAGCTTTTCCCTCCGGTAACATATCCAAGTAAACAACGGTGTCTGATCTCCAACATAGGTCCTAACGTACCCTTCCAGTTAAAGCACCATATCCTAGAAAAACACTTTATTATGGAAGTTGTCTATCCATAAATGTGTGAAGTAATGCGTATCGAACCGTGACTTGCCCGATGCCAATCACAATAAAGCCCCTTGGTTCAGCTGATCTGACACATCAACACATGGCCACTCCTTGGTTTGATGTAAATTAGTCCCACTAACAGGCCACATGAGCCATCAGTCTTTGATGCCTCAAACAGCAACTTCATCTAACCACAAATGTAAATTGTCCGTATCACTTCAGAAGCAAATTCAAGTATTGTCGAATCCATTCTCCACACCAATTGCATCTTGCAAACTGCATGTAAGTGAAATTTCTAATTTACTTACAAAAATCAGCGGGAATATTTGTAACCTCATATCTCTCCCGTTCCCAGTGGATAGTCTTCTCATTTTTAAGAAACGATGCTCATTACAGCACTGTTAAAGTTCCTAGTAAAGTTTATGGAAGTGAAAAAGACATAAAGTTTCTGTGTTTTTAATTCAGGACAATATCAGCGGCACCGCTGCACGTCAGTTGAACGCTACCTATTGTTCTTAATACCTGACTTAACCTGAAGAAGAAATTTCCAAAACAGACACGCATAAATCTAACCTACCATTTCAAAATAACTGTCTGATATCAACTCAACTTCCTCTGTAGGAAGTTACGCAAGGGAGGCTCCAAAGCGGCCATAATAATCCAGTATGCTTCCATTTACGCGTCTTCACGGAACTGATAAACTTTCAAATTCTCGGAGGGAGCATGTAATAAGCCCGATGTACCATGTCTTCGGAGTGAAGTCCGATCACTTTGAGCAGTCCATTATTAATCATCATTAACCGTAATACCGTGCCCTGTTCCCTAAGTCGCTTTCTTTGGCTGTTCATCTGGATGTGAGAGAGACTACAAAAGCATTCAAGACATGCATTTTAGGAAAGGTAATCGGATTTTCTCTTGGCGTGCTCTGGCTTGCCTGCCACCCCCAATCCGTAACTTTAATCATATCAAACCCAAGCGTGCGTGTTTACCTCTAAGACACGGGCTTTTGTGGCATGCGCGTGGAAGGACTATATACCGCCCATCGACACAATCAATTTTTAAAGTCAATCGCCGCCTCCATTCTCATTAAAACGAGGCTCTGGGACTCAGATCGAGGTTGCTGCCAAATCTCCAATGGGTTTGGTTATCACGCTAAGGCTTAGACACGTCAGGACCAAAGACATCAGACCGTGCTTATATCAAAGCGATAGTTTCCTGAATCGAGCTTAGCTTTCAATAATTTAATTGAATTATTTCGTTATCGAACCAGGAGTACCGCCAAGGAGAGAAGCATTCTGACTGGAGAGTCTTTAGAAGAGCATTTCAATCGGGACATCGCTCTGTGGGTGGCTGGGACAGTTGGCTCTGTCTGCTGATGTTACGGCACAGTGTCAGTGGGAAGCAAACGTGGTTTTCATTACAATGTTTTCAGGCATCGTAGAAACTCTCCATCAAGCTGCATGTGTCCACTTTTAATCAAAATAAATCTTATCCTAATGGATCTTTTGGACACCATCTCAGTTTCTAATGACTCTCCACCCTGACAGTTTTGACATAAATACTCTGCGTTCGTTTCCCTTCCTCCGCATAAATAACACTGGAAAATGACCATTTAGGCAAATGTCTGTACGTGGCATTGGCCTGGGGTTAGTGGCCACAATACTTATATTCACATATATAGGATCAGAGAATATATACTACCCATCAAAACTTTAGACTCGCTATGTTATGTATGTACATATGGTTACAACGAAGATGAATTTCTCCACTAACTTGGGAGAAACATCTGCAAACCTTATGCAGATTAATTGCACGAGGATCATCCATCAAATAGCTGAAAAGCGTGTGCAAATATCGTGCATGTGAACAGCTGCGTTTTGGTGTAAAGTTGTGATAAATAATCGCCATTTTTCACCGAGTTTCATAATTTATTGAACACATGACAATAAACTTTTCACCGTCACGAATTTGTTTTACAATACATCAGCTCATGTATAAACAGTACCTTTAAACTGTATGGATTATTTTACAAAATTTAGTTCAGAACAGTTGACTGAAGTAAGTGGCTACATTTACACTAGTGAGTCTAAACTTTTTTGGGGGAGTATATAAATTAATTAAGCAGTCGACATAAGATGTATCCTTTTGTTCTTAAACACAGTGCTGTTTCGATGACATTCAACAGCCTATAAATATTAGCGCAGGAACTGATAAATATGTGGTTGATTTTATAAGCAATGTTCCAAGCTGTCACGTGCAGTGACACTGATTCAAACATATCATGCAGTCTAAATACCCAGTCCTGTTACCACCTATGTTGCTATGGCCGATAATCTCAGTGTATAAAACAATTTGAATATGGCAAATAATATCTGTCAATGTTAATGACATTTTCCAGGAATGATTAATTTAAATCTGCTTTAGTCAGGTACACGTGGCCAAATGAGGCTCTAAACAAGTCTTCCGTGCATGTGCGGGCTACACAAACATATAAACGGTGCTGCTCAGTCACAATCCAAGGCGATATTCATATTAGGACTGACAATTTTATATTTTGGTAATGCTCGAGTTTTCGACTTGGTTCAGAACACACACTGTATATCCCTGAATGACTAAGCCAAACATTTTAGGACTTGATGGGTGCAGGATGCCCCCACCATATCGTTCGCACTGTTTCAACTTGATTCATAAACACTGTCATGATATTGTTGGAATCCGTTTAGCAGATGCCTTTTTTTGTTATCATGCTGTTGATCTCTGGATTGCTTGGTCCAGACTCGATTAATTACAGACCATCGCCATATAACTGGAATATTGCTGAGTGTGGCGTTAAACAGCAAACCAAACCAAACCTTCTAATTATGGAAAATGCGTTTTATCGCTTTCTTGTACAAGGTACCTTTAAAAACACGAGGTCTGTGCCCAAACCCTAAAAGTTCCATCCTCATCCTCATCCAATGGGTCTGTTTGTGTCTAGAAAAGACAAGTTTGTTCATCTAATGACCAGTGATACACACGGTCCTCGAGAACCTGCTCTGAAGAGGCGTTGCCCTGTCTTCAGTTTACAAATGGGTATACCGCGTGATAAAATATTCATTTGCGAAAAGGGGAGTCAGGAAATAGGCATGTCCATTAAACATTGTCATATTGTGAATATTTCCCTTATCACGACAATGTGATGCTGAATTGATACGAGGCTGTCACGGTACACACAGATGTATTTTCTGCATGTGGAAAGGCAGTAATGATATAATAATGTTGCTTTTATTGGGGCATTAAACATTTCGTGGTGCATTTGTTGATTGGCTGGGGTGTGGGTGGGAAGATGTTTTTGTTTGTTTATTTCCATGTGTAAGGGTAGGTGGATGGATGGGTGGGAATTGGTTTGCTTCTAGTTTGATTGCTTCTTCAATTTCTTGATCAGATTTACGTGTAAGATAATTAGAGTCAATTAATTTCATCGATCAAATGTAGGACTATCAATTAAGTGCTGTCTGTACAGATTACTGTTTTATTAGCAGTATACCCGTAGCATGCGTGTATCTATCAACTGTGTTGCTTTTTTTATAAAAGCATTGATTATTTGTCCATCTGAGACAAAAACTGTGTTTATCATGGTACCAATGTTTTTAACATTGTCATTTAAGTCTAATGAACATAACATTCAGGACAAAAGCCATTATAGTATATGACTTAGTTTAAAACTAGGATCTTCAACGTCATTCCATGTGGTATGAACTACCTTATAAATGACAGCATACCAAATTGATCCTCACTTGTGCGCAGAGAACTACGTTTTCGAAGTGGAGTTAGAGAGTGAATGGGTTGCTTATATAATTGTTTGAAGAGGTGAACAAACACGTAAACTCAGACACTAATGTAAAAAATAATTCATCATAGAAGAAACGATATAACAAATTTGAATATATCACCGTCATAATTACTTCATCCAGTGAAAATAAGAAAAAAGAAAAACAAGATGTAATTCAAATACGATGCTTTTTCAGAAAACCTGCATGAAAAATAAACTTTATAAAAAATAACCTCATGAAATACTCCTTTGGTTGCGTGTCACCACCTACTCGACCAAACAAAAAATTAACAATATATCACTGGAAAACCGTCGCCTATGACACAGAGGATAGGACTTTCTTTTATCTTTTTCGCTGATCATTTGTCAAGAATCCTTCTGAACTGTCTAGTACTTTTTCTTGCGTGCTGATGCCGTGCTTTTTTATGTCTGTCTAATGAATCCTCTCTGTGGATTGGTCCGCGTTCGCCGCGGGCGTTTAGGCGCTAGCACCTTAGACCGGATATTACTCGCTTGCTAATTTGAACACTGCTAATTAAAGCACGCGTGATAAATTGTGAGAATACATGCTGGAGGTGAATTAGAACTGATCAGCTGATGAGATGCCACGAATCCACCATCATCAACAAATAGAACCATACGATTCTAATTCGATCAGTTTTGAATCTGGCGGTAGGTAAAATTATTGCGTGACCAAAGTAGCCTTGCACGCCCACGTTGTTCTAGTTCATAGCGGGTATGTTTACGTTGGGAAGGATTAGAAGGCATAATGGTTGACTCTTGTACTCTGGAGCATTAAGCTAATTATGCTGACTTGGTGAAAATCATTTTACGGTGATGAGTTGCCTAAAAGCAGAAGGTTTGGCTAATGTCTGGAGTAGAGTGCTGAGCAGTGACGTAATTATCTTTCTGGAAAACAGCATTAGGGAAATGCTATCGCTCAAACATGTAATAGCTTTGCATAGCGAATTAAAATTGTAAGTGACTTGAATTATAAATTGTCCACAAGTATTAAATGAAATGCTTTCAACGTTGAAATCATTACTGAACAGAATTTTTTTATTTGTTTAACCTTTCAACAAGAAACTTTAACATCATTTCTTAAGAAAAAAATTTAAAATTTGCGTAACCATGGAAACCTGGATTCCGTGTTAGATAGACTGTTAGATAGAATGTAGATTTTACTATTTTAATAGATAATCTATATATCTGAAACATAACAAAAGGACTGTTATTTTATTGCTATTTTCTTCCGACGTCTTTATATTGTATGTTTTGAAATTTACCTTTCGTTACGTGAATACATTTCAAAGTTGAATGTTGCTTAATGTCACAATCAGCAGTCACATAGCTCCATACGACGATCTTCAAGAAACCGATTCTAACGAGGAACCGATAGCATGAACAACATCCTACGATTTAAAGATCAAGATAGGTAAAACATTGAAGCAATCAGATACCCTTTATGCCACTCAAATAAAGAACGCGCATTTTTATACGACTGTAGTTGCTATAGTAATATGAATAAAATCGGGTGTTGTTCAAATTCTTTGAGTAGTACGATTAATAAGTTTATACGACAAACTTTGCGTACTCAATACTCCTAGGTTGGTATCTATTTTTTTCTTGTGCCATGATCGGTATTATCTGACATCAGCATCAGAGGATTAAGCACACCGATGGAAAACAACTTTGCTCAGCATTCTCACTAATAGATTCCATTCCATAAGAGTTTCGGGCCGCCCTACCCTACTTGCGATCACCCAGTGCCATACCCATATGGTAATATGATAAATCTCAGAATCGCAAATTAAATCCAGAACATGTAAATATTAAACTTCAACCCCAAAGAAAGGTCAGTCTCGAAAACAGATCCCGCTGGGCGTAACAGACAAAATATTAATGTCATGAAGATTACAGGAAATATATGTGATGACACTACGCCTTTAGTGAAAATGTTCTGCATTATTGGGCGAAAGGGTAAACATTACCCATCCCTGAGACAGTTTGTATAAAACGTATGTTGTGTTTGCTTCAGTATAATCATACCTGAAGGTAATGAGGGGCGCTGAGCTCTGGAGTCGGGAAGGGAACCTTGCATATATATATAATAGAAGTCTATACAATATAGAACAAACTTTATGGATAACAACTTCTTTTTATTCGTGAGTGCGACGTTTCGATACATTCCTGCTTGACAACGGTACAAGAATCTGTATCGAAACGTCGCACTCACGAATAAAAACAAGTTGTTATCCATAAAGTTTGTTCTATATTGTACTTCCCAACTTCTGAAATGCAACTCAAAGAAGTTAGAAGTCTATATGTTGCAAAAGTTCCTTACTGACTTAAGACATTGTAATATCCTGGTGTTTTAGGATTTCGAGCGCTTCTCGATTATGGAATTAACAATTGTAAAACATGTAACTACTTCATTAAAGGCAACTTTTCTTAAACACAGGCCTTCATCCGAGTATTTGCAATGTTTGTGTGGCATTGACGATGTGAATCCGACGATAATGCATTATAAGAATACAAACACAAAAATTGTGAACTTTACAAGCTGGGTACCATATGGGTAAAACAACTCTTTCTAGTTCATTGGAAAAATGTAAAATGTTTAGTCCATAGATACTAACCAACCTTGATTCTGCAGTAATCCTGAACAGGTAATTGGCAGTACCTGAAGCCAATCAGCTCTTAGTGCCGTGTTTCGTTTAAGCACAAAGTTTAAGGGACACAAACGACCTGGCATCCTGAAATACACCATGGCGGTTGTCAGCTTCAGGCCAAGCGATACAGGAAAACGAAGTCCGTGTAAATTAGTACAGGGATAATCTGATTAGTTTGTATTAATGTCCTTGTTTACCTTACCAACACAAGAACACGGGGAATTAATTACAAATCGATCAGTTGTATTATACTGTGACACTATCAACATGTCCCTTTGTAGTGTGGAATGATTGTGTTTCTGAACGCGGCAGTACTAGTGACCTGGTGTACGAACCTAGTGACATTTCTCCTCACATCAAAGAACGGAGCAGATGAAGTGTTCATTGCCGGTTAAAATACCGAAATTATACACTTCAATAATGTTGTCTTCAGATATATATATACAGAAAGTAAAAGACATAAATCATGGAATCATTGCAGAACTTTTATCAGAAGAACAAACGTTTTGGAGCAACACAATACATGATGTCAGGAAGGATTTCCAACTGTCACAGTCATACTATTCCAGTTTTATAAGGGTAGCCGTATTATTATAGATGTTATCTATTGATTAAACATTTTTTGTAATGTGAATTTGACAGATACGAATATGAATCACGATACATTTCTCCAACGTTTATGGGGATCGTTACTCAAACATCACAGCAAATCAAGAATATTTTAGAAAAAATAAATAAAATATTCCCAAACGTCTCGACCAAAATCAACTGTTTGTCTCTATTCATGCATCTTTTAATTAAAACTACACTTAATGCATCCCAATAAACACAGACATGAAGTTCACTGTGGCTTGTTTCTCTTTCTGACTTTGCTAGCTAAGAAGCTTCAAACCTCGTAATAAAATTACCATAAATAACCCCAACAAATGCGTTTTAGTAAAGAGGGTTGATCAGTTCCGACAAGTAAATATCAATTCATTGTGGCCTTCGTATAATTCCTTATTCTGGCTATGCAAACATATAATTTCTACCTAAGTTCTGGATTCAGTCAACTCGCAAATAGTCGCAACTTGCCTGTCGGGCTACCGGATGCCTCTCGTCAGAGTTAACCTTCATCTGCCCCGAAATATCAGACTGCAACATAAATTACCACTTCCTCGCGCGCTTATCTGTCTGCCAATCCGTCCACTATTATAAGTGACCCCCGTGGCTACCTAATCCTCGTGAGTAGTTTGCGATAACCGTTATCAACCTCCCCGACACCAACGCGGCTGTGCTGTCGCGCCATACACCGAATGCTAAATCACATTTACACACAGCCATATGCTTTAATGATTGATGTTCGAAATCATACACTGTCATAGAAAAAAAGTTGGAGTTGCAAATAGATTCTTCAGTGTACAAGACCATTGAATCCAAAAACAGAACATGTGTCATTTTTAGTGAATATATTCCCTGCATGTAATTACTGACTGATTACTTGTATATTGATAAAAAAGATGAAGCATCGTCATTGATGTCTAACGCCCTAGTGCCACACTAACCTGACTCCAAGAAAAAAATATATGATCACACATAAAGCTTCATATATCATCTTTGTGCAAACAGCATTGATGCGATTCGGGCAAATCTGAGAAGTATCAAAATACAGCGCTTGAAAAAAGGTTGTTAGCAATATGATGCCCTATTTATTTGTGACGTGTGCTGTTAGATTTGTAAATTCCAAAACCGTTTTAACCACATTTGTGTTGAGATAAAAGGCTTTCAATCAACTTTTTTGTATAAGATTTACAATATTTCTAATTCACATGGAAGTCATAGGAATTTCAAAGTTGTAAAATTAGTCTCTTGAGATTACATCACTACACTTTGATGTTTCACTATTGTTTCGTTGTCTGTTTCAGGATTCGGGATGGAAGCTGTTTTCCTATTGGGCGTTGGTTTCACCCGTGACACAGCCACGTCAATAGTCTGCCTCACTCTAGCCGTCGGATTCAGTGGATTTGCCATTTCCGGTAAGGTTTTATACGCCATGAATTCAACTCAAAATGACTGTTGGTTTACATTTCATAGAATCCCTTCCTTGCAAAGACGGCTATGTGGAAATCTGTTACCAGAAGGAAAGCCTTTGTGTACAACACTGCGAGTGTGTTGTCCTTTTGATAACAGCGCCGTGACATCACTTCAAAGAAACGCAGTCCGTTTGTTCCTTATGCGTGGAATGACATGCGTTTAAACAGTTCAGAATCCGAATTAGCACAGTATCGTAATTTATACAAAAGGGGTCTTATTTTGGCAAATACTGATTAGAAGGAAAAGTATTTGATGGTTCCATTTCATAAAATGCAGTTGGAAAGTCCGAAGAAACTCTTTTATGTGAAGTGGTTTTGAATAGAAATGCCGAACTGTGTATTCTAATGACGCCCGTGGTCCATCAGACTACAGGATCTGAATGTTCTATATGCTCTGTGTGTATAAGAGTCTTAGAGGCAGAGCGAGTGTGTGGGTGATGCAGCAGCTTGAGTAATGTCTAAACATTCCATCATCTACACACTCAATTTAATGAAAAAACACCCTTTTACAATCTTCATCAAAGTTAAAAAGGTTTTTTCTGAAGTTTGCCTCCTTGAAAGAGTCCACTTCTGGCAAAATCTGCGTTTCATTAGCAAATCAATTGGAGATGAGGACTGGGGGGACCGGGTTGGAATTTTCATAATCATGATTTGATGGCATTTTCCGGAAAAGCTGGCCCCTCTCGTTGAAATGCCAGATTAATCCCTCCACTCTACCCTTTTAAGTGAAAACTGTTTCATTTGGACTGATTGCCAGAACGATTTCCCGCAAATATTTGCTCCTGCGAAGGTTTTAACACTATTACCCGTTAATCTGAACATAAAACCCTTTTTGTCCACCAGTCTACAGAATATGAGGGACGTCAGAGGATTTCTTTGTGGCTAGGGATGATGAGACGGGGAACAGATAAAGCCCTGCCCTCAGTGTTGGTTGAAGGTATTAGTGATCAATAGGGAAAGAATCGGGCTCGCTGACGGCCGATAAAAGGTTTATTGTGGCTAGGGATGATGAGACGGGGAACAGATAAAGCCCTGCCCTCAGTGTTGGTTGAAGGTATTAGTGATCAATAGGGAAAGAATCGGGCTCGCTGACGGCCGATAAAAGGTTTATTGAAATATACGATAAGAGGCAGACCACGCCATCAGCCCTTGATAAACAGCTTCCTGATATATGGCTGTCTTGTGCCGGAGGATGAGACTACACATCCGGATATGATGTAAAAGGACGAAAACTGACTATATAATGTTCTTGAGAATGTATGTATCCTCTTCTAGTTCGTGGCTAATGTTTGTCAATCAGAACAATAAAAGTGTGAGGAAACTGGGGCACGTCAATATATACATGAATACGGACCAGCCTAGTATTATTGATGTAAAAAACACCAAGTTAAATGTAAAGTATCGCGCCATGACACCAAAGGTGAAGGACACAGTTTGGCTTTTAAAATGATCGATGCATGTAGGATATGTCACGGAAAATGATAAGTCGGATTTGACAGTGTTTGGTCAATATATTTAGAACGTTGTCCATCAGGGTAAAAAATCATCGATAAGAGTTTTTAAAGAAACCGATAATACAATTGTCCAAGCCCGGTTGAATTTCCATACCCAAACCAAAAAGTCTATAGTACATATTTCAAATCAAACAACAGTTACAGTTTGATCTATATTAAGCATATAATGCGTATTAAGTCTATGGTTTTGATATTTGAAGAACTTATTGAAATGTGAAACCACAGAAGATCCTTAGATTGTTTGTTACTGGTTTTAGTGATGTTTCTAGTAATCCTTGTCTGCGGCTATTTCTACCGCATACACCGTCTCGACTGCTGTATCCTAAATCAAACAAGAAACATGTAGAGTAAAATGTCAAGCAGCCATCATATAGCTAAAACGTACTTAAACTACAGAAGATTGCCCAGATCAGCTAGACACCTTTGTTTGATACGCGATCATATCTAAACGATGTGGTCACGTTGGTTGGAAGCTAAACCGCCTCTGGGTTCGTGATGGCGATATTTCCCACGAACAGCCATCGATTGGAGTTGTCAGGAGTCAGCTACACTTTATAGGTTACTCTTGGGCAAACAATGAAAAGTGCGAAACCGTCATTTTCTCCATATTGAGGATGTCAATAGTAATCTGAGGCTTTCTGTTCCGATCGTGACAAGTTCAGAACAATAACCTCCATTGTTTCGTGGTAATCGCACTCCAGCCCAGTGACGTGTGACTCGTTCTTATCAACACCAGCATGGTTATAAACGAATTGTACAAGACACACTTTTGCAACCTTAGGTTTTAAATTCATTTTAGAGATTACTCTCATATCCGCATGAATTTTTAAAGGAAATGTACAAATGACACTTTCATCAGGTCTTTGAATGGCATTTAGAAGTGATAAACATCAGGAAGAGACTTTTATGAATGTCAAGTTCTTTATTATGAGGAACACAACGTTTCGGAGAATGAACTTACTCCTTCATCAGGTGAATGAATGGTATGAGGCACTTTCATCCGCATGTGTATGATACTCTATACAATGGACACTTTAAGTGGCATGTTTTTAATCAAATACACAATTTGATGGAATATACTTCAGAAACATCACCGACATGTTCGGTGAAAACTTATATATAAAATATATATTTTCTGCATATGAAATAAACTCAGGACACTATCAACAGCATGATATTAATTGAAAACACAATTGCCACTTTCACTGACTACTCAAATATACCAATGACTCTTTCACTAGCTTTAGTTTTGATGAAATGTACAATGGAAACTTTTCCGTGCTTGATCTTTAAAAGAAATGCACAATGGAGACTGTAGGCATCATGTTTTAATTTCATAACTTTACAATGAACACATTCACTGTGATGTTGATATGAAAACTTCCAAGGGACACCTTCACATTCATGGTAATATCCAGACATCCAAGGCACACCTTAACAGACATGTTACTCATGGACATATACAATGGACACTTTCATAGGGATGATATCAATGGACATATACAATGGACACTTTCATAGGGATGATATCAATGGACATATACAATGGACACTTTCATAGGGATGATATCAATGGACATATACAATGGACACTTTCATAGGGATGATATCAATGGACATATACAATGGACACTTTCATAGGGATGATATCAATGGACATATACATGGACACTTTCATAGGGATGATATCAATGGACATATACAATGGACACTTTCATAGGGATGATATCATATACAGGACACTTTCATAGGGATGATATCAATGGACATATACAATGGACACTTTCATAGGGATGATATCAATGGACATATACAATGGACACTTTCATAGGGATGATATCAATGGACATATACAATGGACACTTTCATAGGGATGATATCAATGGACATATACAATGGACACTTTCATGGACACTTTGGACACTTTCATAGGGATGATATCAATATCATAGGGATGATATCAATGGACATATACAATGGATGGACACTTTCATAGGGATGATATCAATATCAATGGACATATACAATGGACACTTTCATAGGGATGATATCAATGGACATATACAATGGACACTTTCATATGGACATACAATGGACTTTCATAGGGATGATACAATTTCATAGGGATGATATCAATGGACATATACAATGGACACTTTCATAGGATGATATCAATGGACATATACAATGGACAATGGACACTTTCATAGGGATGATATCAATGGACACATATACAATGGACACTTTCATAGGGATGATATCAATGGACATATACAATGGACACTTTCATAGGGATGATATCAATGGACATATACATGGACACTTTCATAGGGGATATCAATGGACATATACAATGGACACTTTCATAGGGATGATATCAATGGACATATACAATGGACACTTTCATAGGGATGATATCAATGGACATATACAATGGACACTTTCATAGGGATGATATCAATGGACATATACAATGGACACTTTCATAGGGATGATATCAATGGACATATACAATGGACACTTTCATAGGGATGATATCAATGGACATATACAATGGACACTTTCATAGGGATGATATCAATGACACATATATGGACACTTTCATAATATGGACACTTTCATGGACAATATACAATGGACACTTTCATAGGGATGATATCAATGGACATATACAATGGACACTTTCATAGGGATGATATCAATGGACATATACAATGGACACTTTCATAGGGATGATATCAATGGACATATACAATGGACACTTTCATAGGGATGATATCAATGGACATATACAATGGACACTTTCATAGGGATGATATCAATGGACATATACAATGGACACTTTCATAGGGATGATCTCAATGGACATATACAATGGACACTTTCATAGGGATGATCTCAATGGACACATGCAATGGTGAAGGAAAACTAAGTTCTATGGACAGTCAACTGCTTTCTTGATAACGGTGTTAGTACCTACACCGAAACGTCGCACTCATTGCAATATGAAGTTGCCTATCCATAGAACTTGGTTTTCCTTCATCTATACAACTTTTAAAATGCCTCTCAAAGAAGATATACAATGGTAGTTTCACGAACATGTATTACCGCAAATATACAGTGGACACATTCATATGCATGCTTTTAATGAAACGTACATGAACAGTCTTGCTAACAGAAATATAAAACTGACACTTTTACAAGAATGTTATTATACGACGTATACAATAGACATACTCCCCGGCATGTATTAGATGTAATATTCAATGCACAGATTCATTGGCAAGTTATTATAGGGAATATGCAAAGGATACTTTTACGGGCATGCCATTGGTAGAAGTATAATGGACACTTTCATATGCATGTTTTAAATAGAAATCTACACGGGGCGATATGTTTTAAGGTCATGTACATTGCACACGTTCACCGGTGTTGAGGACATGTAGAATTAGCACTTCCGTATTCATGTTATTAATCGAAATACACACTGGAAACGTTCATCGGTATAGTTTTATTTTATTTTTATTTCTATTTCTAAGTACGATGAACACTTTAAACGATAAGCTGTTAATGACATGCACAATTCACACTTTTACAGGCATGTTATTAAAGGAAATACGCAATGGATACTTTCATTGACATTTTAAATAAAATATTCGATGGGCAACTCCATAAGCATGTTTTAAATACAAGGGTTTGGTTTTAGCCAGACAAAATGCAATTGCCACTTTCTCAAAAGTGGGTTAAAAATGAACTATGCAATGGCAATATTTATCCATAATATTTTCAAGTGAAGACATACTAATGTGTATTACATTTTAGGAACGCCATTTTTGCAATTAAAAGCTTGCGTCAAAATCTCATTATGTTTTCAACAGCATTATGTTTTGACACCAGGTGGAGGTAGTTAGCCAACACCAGAACAACAATATATTTATAAGTTTTTATGTCTGCTTATGTTTATGCTTAACAGGAAAACTGTAAACTTGGCCAGCAAAGGTGTCACTGATATGGTTGTTCGTTTTAGAATCTGACGTTCACCAAACACACTCGAATACCATGTGAAGATATAAATGCCTAATTTGTCACCATTCGCATTTGCAAATAGCTGAAAAACAGTTATCAATAATTCATTAAACAATAAAAGACCTTATGTAAAGATACATTATGAGACCTGCAACTGCGAGAAAGCTCGTAAAAAGCCCATTCCTGTTGACAAATTTATTTCTTATTACTAACATACATCTCAAATCCAGACAACCCGGTGTATTATGTGTCCATTTGCAATTAGATGCCTATTGGCATGTAAAACACGTTTCAATCGAAGAAACAATAAAGAAGGGGACATCTTTTGTGAACAAACAATAAACGTTTTCATGCACGTGAAGAACAGTTCTCGGCAAGCTTTGTTTCACTCAATCACACTTATTAACCAATAAAGTGGCGTACGGCAAGGTGGCCCTTACCGTACAGGCTCAATATATGTTCATATCCCTGGCAATTATAAATCAATGCGTAGCACGTGTGGATGGGTGATATATTTTACATGTCTGGTGAGAAATTGATGATGATTAGTGAGATTTTATGATTCTCTGGCAGCCCAGATTACCAAGTGCTCCGGGAGTGCGGCAAAATGTGATGTTTATTGCTTCAGCAAGTTTAATTCATCATAAAATGCGATCAGAGGAGGAGGGTCATCTACTCCGCCTAAAATTGATTCTGTTGCCGAACTAAAAAGACAGTTATCAGGTTTTGTCTAAACTCCAGGGTTAGTCCGCTGCCTGTCACTTTTTTAGGTTCCTGTGACCAACGACTACCAAGAATAGGGATTGGAGCTCAGATGAGAGGAGACCTATTTAATGCTTGGTTGCTTTCAAATTGGCAGTGCCACCGCTTCAAGGAAGATAAAGCTGCTCTTCGCATTTACTACAGCTGAACATGTTAAGACACAAGAAGGCACGGCTTGACTATTAATAACCAATATGATTCGATACATGGAATAGTGGTTGAATATTACTTTCCTAATACATGCCTTTGCTCTATCATCAAGGCAACGATGTGTGAAATATTCCATTAGCTGAAAAAACACAGCCTGTTATCATTTAAAAAGCTTTCCAAATCCTCCCAAATCTTGAAATGAATTAAGCGAGGCTTGAAAATAACCAATAATCCATGGTATTTAGGTGAGAAGATAACTTGAGGAAATTAGAGATTTATTTCAAATAAAAAGATTTTTTATGGAATTTCTGGTGGTTGATTAAAAGTGTGTTCAGCATTATCCATCAACTGGCTTAACATTGTCCAAAACATTTGATATTACATGAAATCATAGAATGGGTTTTTGTTGTTATCCTGTTGACTAAGAAGCAGCAGCAGCTGTAGTAGTAGTAGTGCTAGTAGTAGTATTAGTAGTAGTAGTAGTTGTAGTAGTAGTAGGAGGAGGAGCAAATATTGTTGAAATTTAAAATATCTCTCGTCTAAGTCATTTTGAAAGGTGGATTTTGTAAGTATATCCATATCAAGGATTTAGTTTTTGTCCTTTTGAAACAGAAATAATGGCAACAATCTTATGGTACTTTCTAACACATAAAACCACATCTACAAGTTGCAAAAGAATTAACCTCTCCCGGTTTGTTACAGGTGAAGTGCAAATATACATTAAAGCAAGAAATAAAACATCAACAGAAATATATCTATCCCACTGTTCAATTCAAATAAGCATATGTGTGCTGTTGAAAAAGCTGAATTATGTTCAACTTGCCTGTTGTTATTTCATCGATACGTAAATTACTTTTTCACTTCTGTATTACAAGAAAGAGTCATCGAGATGTGTAACAAAACCTATGTGAGCACGCGTCTCCGTTGCATGTGAAGGTGAAATCAGCGACAGTCAATGACCTCTTCTGTCGCTAGATCTCTTTCACTGAACAAATACTAAGACTGCACTCAATTTCATGTTGATGAAAATGCGTCTTTATCTAGGCACCTTATCCCGCCTGAGATAACTGCAATCTACAAGCTCTGCTGCAATCAACAACAGCTATCAACAACTTTTATCTGTACACTCTATGCCAAAACCACTTAGAGTCTCGGCAATTGATTTTTCGCTTGTCGATATCAGGGAGCTTTGCTTTGATAATTACAGGCAAATACCATGATCGAATGTTCGATTTTGCTATTGTCTTTGCTACAGACACTAAAGATTAATACATTAAGGGTTAATAGATTGACGACACAGTTGTGTTACCGCGCTTGACTAGGGTTCCATGTCTTTGCGCTGAAAGGGTATGATAAACCAAAGTAGGCAATATTTCACAGACGTTCGTACGTACAGCATCTAAAATAATTATGTGGATGTCAATCATTTGATCGTTACATGCATGTACATTTCAAGCGGAAATCTGTGCCTGTGTTTTGCGCATATTGTTTATTGTCCGTGTATTATTTACAACACAAGTGAGATATCGATCATCGCTGATCAAATTAATCTGTATTGACATAACCTCGAACTCGGAATATATAGTGGCTTCGTGGTTTGGATCAGACAAATAAATGGGTCAAGGGACAAATGGCATTATTGTCGCGCTATGGAATAGAACAAATGCCGTGTCTTTGTCATGAGTACATGTAGGAGGTGAAATCGGTATCATATTATACTGATGTCTCTGTACAAATTGTGATGCCCATGTATTGTGAGTGAGTGAGTTCAAAGGATCATGTTTAGGGACAAGACTCAGTCACTTACAAATCAGCGACATAACACCCGGTTCCATTACCCCAAGAAATGCTTTGTAATTTATGCAATAGTCATACAACCAATTCTCTTCTTCTTACTTAAACGATGTACATGACATTTAATGACATGGTCATTAAACATTCAAGATTTAGCCATGTACTCTGAAATACGTCATTGTTCAAAACTCTAACATATGAGTCATTCTGGAACACTCATTAATAACAAAGACGTCTCAGCTTTCGACAAATGTTGAATATTTTATGTCCTGTAAGCAGCATTTATGTTAAGTTTCAAATTAGGTATTCTCTGGTATGTGTATGACGCACACAAATGACATTCTTACTCACAATACTGCTGGGATGATTATATGTAGCTTAAATACATGATCACAGATAGGTCACATTGTTTCATATTCCCAGTGAATGTGCACGGATATTACACAGATATACAATAATAACGTATACCTTTATTGAAATAGCCTATAGTTATACATCATTAAGTACACGAAGACATTTAAAGCTATGACTGCATGTTTCCTTCTCATATTCTTCAGATGTCGTCATTATTCCTATATATAACTTACATCAGGGCTCAAGGTATAATGTTTGGAGCTTTGGGGTATTTAAGTTTTTCTTTCTCACTGGGTATTAATAATATGTTTCATTCAATATGCATTTGCGCTATCGTGTTATGGATTATTGGTATACCAATGAGAGGTTTTATTTACATAATCAAATAATTTTGTAAAGTGCATGATTTTCGAGTTTTGATCTGTGGCTATATATCGTAAAGCAATACGTAAGGAAGAATTGTCCTTATTGGTCTCTACTCAGCAAGGCTTGGATGCGTAAAGGGTTTTGTTGCATATATTCCACTCATTTTCCATGTACCTTTCGTGTCAATTTCATCACTATTTGGCCAGTTCCAGTGGAATCTTTTTCGTTGGATAATCGAGATAATTTCTGGCGTAAATATTCTGTATTTACATATACTGAAGAAATCATCTAGCGGTCATGAACTCGAATATGAAGTTGTGCGCTTAATATTCACTGCAAAATAGCCCCCTAAATATTCATGATATCCAGGTACAGTACCTGTGTATACCCTGGCTCATCTGGTGATAACTGAATATCTTCATTTTCAGGTTTCAACGTGAACCACCTTGACATTGCCCCGCGGTACGCCAGTATCTTGATGGGGCTGTCCAACAGCGTGGGGACCCTGTCGGGCATGTTGTGTCCGATTGTTGTGCAGTACGTCACCAAGGGTCAGGACAAGTCACCAGCAGAGGTAGGTCAGAACAGATCGACAGATCCTGTTTGCTCAAACTGAGTTTCTGTGGTGTGATCAAACACCAATCAGTTTCAATCCAGCAATGTAAATATGGGAAAGTGGATGTGACCTTGTACGATTGGGAAGACCAGTGGAAAACTAGCCATAGGAAACTGCAAGTGCATTGTGTCTTTCCTGTGGCGATTTTGGCAAATGTTAGTGTTTCATGTGACGTATTGTTTTTTGAGATCTGTTTTGATCTCGATTGATATAGCAATTCATCATCTCCTACTTGCTTCCATAGCATTGGTGATATCTGGTGTGTGTAATCAATCAAGAATTGTGGAAATACAATACGTTACAGCTATAATATTCTATAACATCAGGCCCCGATTTCTCGAAACAAACTTAAGTCTTAGTTTCGACTTAAGTCAGAGTTTTTACTCAAATTTGAGAAAATGCATTTCCCAAAATGACCAAAAATGATATTAAACTCAAACATGGTAGACCATTTGAGTTTGGTGGATAGATTACTTAAGTTGATTGGGCTTTTTTATTTAAAAAATGCATTTGAGTTAAAAATTCAGCTGTTTCCAATTGTCCAACTCAGTTTCAAATTTGAGTAAAAAACTTAAGTTTGTTTCGAGAAATCGGGGCCAGGTCCCATCGACCACATGAAGAGACATGATTATACAAAAGCACAAACTACCCGGCTCATGGCGGATGACAATTCGGTTATAGAGCTGTTATCACACAAATATCTGGATATAATGTAATCTACACTGAAACTTTTCGACATTTCGGAATGCTCAAAACATCAATAATACAAACTGCACTGCGCACTGTCACGAGCAGGGATATACTACAAGAAGAAAACTAACTTGATTAGGCCACATGTGGTGCAACTGTTACGGGAACATGGCCACGTAATTAAATTTAAAACATCCAACGTGTAAAAACGTCCAGAAATTTGTCTCGCATCGGTGAGATGAGTTTCCCGGGGGACGAAACATAGGAGTAAGAGTTATGTGAAATACTTGCTCACAGGTTGCCGGTATGAACATGTGCAAAATAATTAAAGTCGATCTGTTTCAATTTCAATAACGTATAGTTTCGTGAGAGAAAACCACTTTAGCGATTTGGTGCATTTGAACCCTTCGAGTGGACTAATGGTCAAGAAGACTAATAGCTTTGGAGACTTCAGAACCAGGGCTTCTCGAGGCATAGTATTCAAAATGTAACTTTGTATTATAGGTATGATTTCTGCATGTGAAATTCGAAATTCTGGCAGTGATTGTTTGAGCTGACTCGTGGATTTTGCATTAGCGTTTAAAGAAAGTAGCTGCCTTCAACGAAACGTGTATTGCAGCTTATAAACTGCCAGCAATGAGATTATGACAAATGCTTTATATTCTTACAGTGCGTGACATAATTGTTGATATGTTGTTGCAGGCGGCCCAGGAATGGCAGACCGTGTTCTTGATTGCCAGCATCATTCACTTCTGCGGAGTCGTGTTCTACGCCATCTTTGCCTCCGGAGAAAAACAGCCATGGGCAGAACCCCCGGCTGAGGAGACTTGGCGCCCAGAGCACACCCTGACAGACGACGGGAATGCATGGAAATACCAAACCTACGGTTCCACAACCCATGGGTATGAGGGGGAAGTGAACACTGCCTGCAATGGAGGACCCGTACCCCCGCCGTATAGTCCCGTGTATGAAACTAAAGAGCAACTTGTTCAGAAGGAACAGAGAGATCGCTATATGGCTGATGGAAATGAACGAGATTTCTAAAGTAGTAGATGATTTCATTTATCATTTTATTCCACATCGTAGGTCATAGGAATATTGGCATGCGCTGAAGGTCGAAGGACCAACAGGAGATTAAATTTCAAGTAATGGATACTGGTTCGAGGTCATGTCAGGAACAACATGGCGGGTTGGAAAGGATCTGGTTCGGTGACTGTCGGTATTGTAATCGAGGGTTGTTCATTTCATTAGGTGTAACTGAATCATATGTTCACGATACGAGATTGATGGTTTCATTGTGCAATCAGTGTGGAAGTAACGAAGCTTAGCAACAAAAACATCGAACAATAAGAATCCAGGGAATTCACGGCAATGAAAGAAGGGGATGGATTCTCAACCAATCCAATCACGATCCCAGTACAAGAGTCCGCCAACATGGCCGAGAATATGATTAGGCCAAATACAACTCTGTAGAAAATCAAATTTCTACGACAAGAAGATGCTTTAAACCACATCATGATAAATCATCATCGACCATGCTCGTCAAATGAAAAATGTGATCACGTGACTATCCAAGATGGCGGTTATCGGGATCAGGTGGCCGCCGCAGTTGCGTATCTCCTATTAACGTCTATTTTCCAAGAGACAAGCTTTCTTTGGACATCTTACATGGCCGCTCTAATCACACTTTCTAATTCAATTTACCCAAATCGCTCTGGGTAATATCTTTGAGCAACTGTATAACCCAATGGCTAATGTTTTCCCTCTGGCCAGATGCCCGAATATAAAATGGGATTGGACCTCAACACGGGCCAGGATTGAGTTGATTACATTTTGAGCTAAATTTGATGACGGTGGAAGAAAGAGAACGCACATTTCAAGTTGAGGGTTGTAAATTAGGTTAGGAAGAGTTATCTAGCTGTTTCCACAGAGAAAGGGGAGAACTGATCATGTGTCTACGACCAAAATCAATACTCAGTGGTAACATATACTGTAGGCCGGTATAAATGGAATAGGAAACATCACAAATATGGAATGACAAGGAAAGGGAAATGAGGAGTATTCAGACAAATGGAGTTACGTTTGTATTCTTTATAATGGTTGATTTATAAAATGCTGAATTTCGTTTAATGAATTTGATTATAAGTGTTACTAGTGATTTCGCTTCAAATGTTTGTGATAATGTTTGTTGGGTAGAGAAAGCAGAAAGATATTCAAGCGAGAAGGCGATTTCATTATATTGATTAACCAGCTCATTGACTTAGATTTGATTCATTTTGAAACACTGTGATAGAGACATGAGGGTTATATTTATACTTCAACATTAAAAACATGAAACAATTTCATTAGTACTTAAACGCCTTTAACTATTTTCTGGCAGATTTCTGTCCAAACAATTCTCTGGCATAATTGTCTAGATATTTTCGTTAAATATGAAATATTTAACGCAAAGCAAATTCAAGAACAATTATCTTTTTGATTATCTAATACTTAAATGATCTCTTTAAAAACATATCTGTTCTGTAAATAACATGAATGTACATAATGATTTTGAGTGGCGAGTTGACTCATAAACGTCATCTTAACGTGTTGAGTTTAAATTGTTTGACTATTTATAAGGGTTTATACCAAGCTACAAGTGATTTATTTGTGTCTTACTCGTCTTCTAATCTGTGATATTAAACGTATCCATTAACAGATAGACAGTGTCTACAATGCAGATATATGTACTGTTATCTTCGTGTTACCTCCTCCATAATTCAAGGCAGATCAAATGAAAAAGTAAATTTTCCCGTAAGGAATTTTGAAATTTAAAACAACTATTTACAAAAGTATTAACTAAATATATTTCATGTTTGTATTTAGAAGTTAAACCATGTCTTGTTATGTTGCGATATTAGCTGTGTTTGTATGGCAGTAAATGGATAGATCTATTAGCACTTGTGTAGATGACAAAACTGAATGTACCATGTAGTATTTGAATATTCATCATGATAGATAAGAGAGTATCATCGTCATTTTTTCACAATGATTTGTTACACGCTTCATAGTTTGTGGTGAGAATGGCGATGTAAGAGCAGAATACCCACCTTCTCTTTACTTCTTCTATCATAGATGTTTCATGTGGAAATACTCACCCATATTAGATAGTCGTTGATGTATATTGCAGGTTCATTCATGTCAATCACTATGTGTAAATATTGTTAGCATCCATAGCTATTACCCCCTTGTTAATAATACAACCCGATTGACGAGCTGTTTGCAAACGATACTTTGAAGTAGTAGAAAGGGCGCAAGTAAATAAACCAACAAGAGCAATTAAATTGGTAAATAAACCAATTGGCATGACATGTTAATATCTGTTTTCATTTCATGTTCAGATCGTTATTTTGTCACGCATGGACAGCCAGTTCCTGATAGGAATCATCAATATCAATCACGGTGATATTTAGCAGTGTTTACAATGTGACACGAAATGAATCCAGAACAGGCAACAGGCACATCTTCAGGCTTCCTGTGAGCCAGAGAAAACTGTAAAACACGAAGCAATCACATTTCATCAACTCAAACTCACATTATAAAGTCCAAAAACCTTAAACATTATGTGGAATAAAATCGTGATGAACAATACATTTTGAAGTTTGAGAGGCATTTTATAAGCTGGTAAGTGACAATAAAGGCACGATATTTTATGGATGACTGTACCAATCAACTATCAGGCTTTATTTTGTTGTTGTTATTGTTGTTGTCTTTCAAACATACCCATATGTTGTTTTTGTTACTCCAAGTTTAATATATAATGTGCTAACTTCACCCTTTCTTGACAACGGTATATGGATCTATACCCAAATGTCGTAACACAACAGAATAAAGAAATTGTCATCCACAATATATCTTGCGTTTACTAACTGAACCATGGCTAGAAAAGACCTTATTTTAAAATATTTAACTTAAACAGTCACATGAGTTATTGCCTGACGCGAAACATGACATAAGATACTGCATTGGATTGCTTGCAATACTGACATATGCTATTGGCATTTTGCAATAAGAGACGTCGAAAACAGTAACTTACACAGCTGTGAGTGGTGGAATGCACCAACCTTTTCGCAAACATCTCATATTATAAATCTTTGATCGTGGTTTATTCCATATATAAACGCGGAAAAAACAACAGAAAAACATAGTTTCGATCATATACCTAAACACATGTACACGAGCCTATATGGTGTTGGAATCATACATGGAAATATTTTTGAGCACAGATTTCTTAAGACAATGGCAATGGTTTTGCCTCTTTTAGTTAACGGAAACGACAGTGACATAACCGAGTAACATGCAATGATAGGTTTAGAGATTCATAGTTAAAGCTGATATTAGAGGGTTCCTAGCAACAGGGATGTCAGAGATTGGCTAGCAGTGGATATCAGTGACAAATATCAGAAACGCAAGATATGCATTAGTAACACGGATGTCTGAAATTCACAAGTAACAAATATGTAACACAGTTAATAGCAACCATGACAAACAATATTGATTAACAAGCATCGAGGATATGAAATATTTATTAACAGCTAGGGTATCGGATTTGACTAACAAGAGATATATAAGACATCGACTAGCAAATATATTTAAGAGAATGATTAACAACGGCACTAGGACAAATTGAGTCGCAAAAATTAACGGTCCGCTTATATGGCGCTCATACTCAGGCACATTGCCTGCTCACCGCGTTACGTACATAGCAACAATGATATCAGCTATTAACCAGAAACAGTGATATCTGAGACTGACCAGCAACTGAACCATAAGAGGCTGAGCTGCTAAAGTGATTGTCTAGTACAAAGAGACTGAACAGCAACTGAACCATAAGAGGCTCAGCTGCTATAGTGATTGTCTAGTACAAAGAGACTGACCAGCAACTGAACCATAAGAGGCTGAACTGCTATGGTGACTGTCTAGTACAAAGAGACTGACCAGCAACTGAACTATAAGGGGCTGAACTGCTATAGTGATTGTCTAGTACAAAGAGACTGACAAGCAACTGAACCATAAGAGACTGACCCGCTATAGTGATTGTCTAGTACAAAGAGACTGACCAGCAACTGAACCATAAGACTCATAGAGGCTGAGGCTGAGCTGCTATGGTGACTGTCTAGTACAAAGAGACTGACAGTCATGAGCTGCTATTGTGATTGTCGCTTTTTAACATGTCACAAAACAACAAACTCAGATTTTGGAAATGTAACAGTGCATATTTGGAAAATTAATGGTTTTACAACATTCTGAATGATGAAAGTGTGAACTACAGATTTGAATGATCACATAGTGTACAATTGAATCGAGGACAGTTGACTGTCCGGTATTCGAGCACCATCTGTTTCATCATAAGCGGCTCTAAACTGAAGACAGACAGTTTAATACAGTCAATATCGTGTGTGGTCACCCCTGGCTTGTATGCAAGCATGGACACGACGTCTAGCAGATAATGTTAGTCGTCTGATCACATGTATCGGGATTGTCCGCCATTCTTCCTGTAGGGCCTGTGCCAACGCCTCTCTTGTCTGTATGGGTGGCTGTCGCTTGTTGATTTGTCGTCCAAGGTGGTCCCACAGGTGCTCAATCGGGGACAAGTCGGGAGATCGAGCTGGCCAAGGAAGTAACGTCACATTCTGGGCATTAAGGAAGTCCATACTGATGCGTGCCTTATGAGGTGTGGCGTTGTCTTGTTGGAACATGGTATGTGGGTGATTCTGGATGAATGGCACGACGACTGGTCTTAAAACTTCATTGATGTACCGTGCAGCTGTTAGATTACCATGAATCACAATAAGATCAGTCTTCATGTCGCCACAAATCCCTCCCCAGACCATCACGCTTCCACCACCATAGTGGTTGGTCTCTTGTACGCAGCAACGTCGTGTACGTTCTCCCCGCCTTCGGTATACCCGTTGTCTACCGTCTGGTTTAAACACTTGGAAACGGCTTTCATCGGTAAAGAGCAATCTGGACCAGTTTCTTGCCTGCCATCGCTCAACAGTTCTCGCCCACCTCAATCTTTGACGACGATGTTCAGGCGTCAACGTCATAGCCTTCAGCGGTCGATAGGCTCTGATACCATGGTGTCGAAGACGTCTGGCAACGGTCCTTCTGCTGACTGGATGGCCAAGAGCAGTTCGGGCGGATTACGCCACAGTTACGAAGCGGTTCCTCAAGTGAAGCAGTCGTAAATAACGGTCTTCCTGGGGGGTCGTGACCCCCCGGACGTCCACTTCTAGTCCTGTCAGACGTGACACCCGTCCGTCTGTAACAGCTCACCAATCTCAGGATTGTTCACTTTGAACAGTTGATCAACCTTGCAACATGGGACTGCGTCGCTCCCAAATCCAGCATACCAATAGCTCGTTCTCTCTGCTGTGCTGTTAGTCTTGGCATGTTTCCTTTTTACCATATGATGTGATAATGGAATACATCATTTCTCTAAACATTTTATACCTGAATTCAATACGGCTTTTTACGAAGGAATTTCGCAAACTTTCGTGCAAATTTAACATTTTTACACAAATTACATGAATCTCGTGCAATTCAATGCGTAGTGTATGTTGTTTCGGTTCGGGCAAGTTGTTTCAACACGTTTTTTATTGAAAAAATACAAAGGTTCGTTAAAAATGAAACATAATTTTGGTGACGTTTCTTTTGCCCGTGAGTTTATAAGGGGCTGAACTGCTATAGTGATTGTCTATTACAAAGAGACTAACCAGCAACTGAACCATAAAAGGCTGAGCTGCTATAGTGATTGTTTAGTACAAAGAGACTGACCGGCAACTGAACCATAAAGGGCTGAGCTTCTATAGTGATTGTCTAGTACAAAGAGACTGACCAGCAACTGAACCATAAGAGGCTGAGCTGCTATAGTGATTGTCTAGTACAAAGAGACTGACCAGCAACTGAACCATAAGAGGCTCACCAAAGAGCTTCCTATAAGAGGCTAGTACTGCTATAAAGACTGACCAGCAACTGAACCATAAGACTGACCAGCAAAGAGTGATTGTCTAGTACAAAGAGACTGACCAGCAACTGAACCATAAGAGGCTGAGCTTGCTATAGTGATTGTCCAGTACAAAGAGACTGACCAGCAATCGCTTGTAAGACCATGACTAGAGCTTTTATAATGAGATTGTCCATATACAAAGATACTATGCAAATGACCCGTTGATTAGTAACTCTGGTATGAGAGATCAGTGACAGGCTGACTTGCAGCATGATGAGATATGTGATATATCTCCCTTGTTTATATATAGCTACCTGGCAATCATACCCATTGCTGATGCAATACATTGACTAGATACTGTGTTATGATATCATATATTTGACTAAAACACTGACATCAGAGATTGACTGTAAACGGTGATTTTTTTGAATGGTAGCGATATAGATATGTGGCAACAATGATTCGAGGAGATTTACTGGTAATTGTGATAAAATAGATTGACTAACAACGGTGCCATCGGCACAGATTGGCAATAGTCATCTAAGAGACTGACTATAAATAGCGATATCATAGACTGGTTAGCAACAGTGATATCATAGATTGGGTAATAACAGCGAAAGTGATATGAGAGATTAATTTACAAAAGTGATAAAATAGATTGACTAGCAATGGTGACATCATAAACAAACTAGCACTAGTCATGTGAGAGATTGACTAACAATTGTGATGTGATAGATTGACCAGCAACACAGACAAGAGATTGAATTGCAACAGTGATAAAAGAAACTGAACTGCAACAGTGATATTAGAGATTGACTACAGTCTTCTGAGATATTTACTGGCAATGGTGATCTGAGAGATTGACTAGTGTTCTGGGAAAGAGTCTACCAACAAAAGTATGATCGCTTGGTCTGCTACCGTAACCTACGAAATTTTGCACACGTCTCATTGCATCGAAGTGTCATCTTTAAAAAGCAATTTCACGAAGACATTGAACCCATCATAATCCTGTCAAAAGTGCGTTCCACCTTCTGAAAAACTGACTAGTCTTTTAAGAGTACATTTTACATCGTTCTGAATAAATCATTCAATGGAAATCCTTCGGGATTTCTTTACAGGGCTCCCAGCTAACGGTTTGGTTCTCTATATTGTGATTTATAGGAGAACATCCACATTCTTTTTCCTTTGGGCTTTTATTCAATTACGTTCTCGGGTCCTCTTTGAGTTGTGGTTTAATGCTTCAATTATCATGAAATAAAACTTTATATTAATTTCGGAGCAAAACATCGATTTCCATTCGTTTTAGGGAATGACCACGTGTGATTTGATCAAATTCCCACCTACAAATAAGATCACT